AACAAAAAATTCATTTGGTTTTGCAAACCCATTGAGTCCATGTGGCGAATGATGATTCAACCACATCATTAATTTTTATTTTTTAAAAAAGAAAATCAATCCAAATTTCTAAATACCATTTGATTTCTTTTTTTAAATGGGAAAAGACTCAAATTTCAAATGAATTTTAGAAATTTGGCTAACTTTAAAAATAAAATTAAAAAATTAGTTATGTGTCAAATCATCATTCCCTACGCGGACAAAATGATTTTGTAAAACTTAATGGATATTCAATTAACTCATAATGACATGTATGGATCTTTTCTCAAATGCTATGGCTAGCATATTTGAGGTTTTTTTCACTATAAACAATAATAATATTATTAGACATTTTTGTAAAGATAATGGCCTTATGACTATATTTAATTCTCCTCACACATATTTTTTTCATTAGATGTATATAGATACGCAAAAACAAGAAAATGTCATAAAATGTCTTTTCACTATAAGAGTAAGTCTAAAATGGTCCCTTAACTATACTTTTGTCGGATTTAGTCCTTCAACTATTCAAAAATTTATCAGATTTGGTCCCTTAACTATACATTTATTGATTTTGGTCCCTTAACTATACAATTATCGATTTTAGTCCTTAAAGTATTTAAAAGCTTATCAGGTTTGGTCTTTGTCCATTTTTTTATACAAATACTTATGTTTATATTAACGAAATCCATGTCTCGAGAAATTAAATAATTTATCCATTTTTTCAGTTGTTTCTCTCCCCACTATTTTTACTTCAAATTACCCTTTTTCAAAGAACCTTAACCTCAATGATTCAAAATAAAATTCAGGAGGAAAGAAAATATAAGTCATAATTTCATTCAACGGACGATAAAATGAAGCATATTATTGATACTAATGATTTGAATATGCTAACTTTATTATAAAAAGAAAAAAATTATTACCAGTTGAATTTAAAATTGTACTCTAACGACCTTATTGAAGGAAATTTGTTTAATTTTTCAGAAGTTGAAATTTATAAAATGGTAGATCTGCAACTTTTCTTAAGTTTTTTTTAATAGATTGATTTTATTATTCTATTCATTTTATTTTACGTAGATAAATTTGAGTAACAAGATCAAATCTCTTATTTTTCTTTTGTGTGAAAAATAATTGAAAAAAATCGCTCTGATTATGAATCGTTAACCGCCAAATAAGGGAACACAACATATTCAAGTCATTAGCAACACCTATATTTTTATTTTATCCTTCATTGAATAAATTTAGGACATATATCATCTTTCCTCATTGATTTTATTTTGAATCATTGATGTTGTTGATCTTTTCATAAGATAATTTGAAAAAAGGTCGTGGGATAGAGAAACAACTTGAGAATGGGTTAAATATTTAATTTCATGAAGAGTCTGTTAATATAAATCTAAGCTTTTTTGTATTAAAAAATGGACAAAGACCAAATATGATAAGTTTTTGAATACTTAAATGACTAAAACGGTTAAGTGTATTGTTAAGGGACCAAAACTGATAAGTTTTGAATACATAAAAGACTAAACTAGTAAGTGTATAGTTAAAGGACTAAAACTAATAAGTTTTTGAATACTTAAAGGACTAAATCTAACAAAAGTACCATTTTAGTCCTACTCCTATAGTTAACGGACTATTTATGGCATTTTCTCCAAACTATATGTTCAATACAGGATTATGGGGGAAGGAATATAAGGTGGCTGTGAATCAAGTATGTGCTTGTAAGCAATGGAAATTGCTGCTTGCTTTCGCTTAATTGAGCACGAGGATTTGTTTGAATTTGACAACTGCAACAAAAGCACATTCATCCTCTTATATTGTAACACTAGTACCGATTGTTAAGTCTGTTTTGATTGACCAACTCTTTTTATCAGATTGTATTTTACAATGATTTTCTTGTTGTCTTTTGTATCACTGTCAAAATCATTCTTTCGTTTTCGTTTTTGTTTTTGTAATTAGGTGATTGTTAATTTCTATACTCCCTTCATCTTACACCTTATATGCAGCACCGGCAAAATTCAATCAAGGATATATGTACACAAGTTGTTTTTGTTGGTTTTAAATGGTGTGAATGGAAAATGAAGAGTAGCGACTTTTATGAAGAGTTGGGACTTTTATGAAAAGTTGTGACTTTTGTGAAAGGTTGTGACCTTTCCAAAAGATTGTGACTTTTCCAAAGGGTTGTAACATTTCCGGTAAGGCACAATAAGAACTTTTTCACACTACCCTTTGTTTTCTATAAATAGAGAGATTTCCTCTCATTTTAAGATAACCAAATTTTCTGCACTTCTACTACTACTAAATCAAGTATTCTAAGTGTAGTTTACTACTGTTGAGTGGTTCGCTGACACTGTGGTTTAAGGTACCGATACACCGATGAGTAAGATCGTTCAATCCTGGGAGGATATATTCCATTGACCTCAGGTACTTGAGGGGAATAATTTTCTTAAGGGGACACTGTGCATTCCGTGGACTCGATTTTCTTCTTTAAGAAAAATATTTTGTATCTTGTTTATAATTTGTTTCTGGTTCTATTTTCTCTGCTGGTTTTAATTTTCTAGTTTTGAAAATATTTTTTAAACTTTGTTGTTTCTTATCAAGTCTTCAAAGGTTTTGTTCTAAGTCTCTTAGGAATACAAGATGAACAACAGTTTTTCTGGTTGAATTCAAAAAACACCTCGCAATCATCAATCAATAATTCGGATATTTAGCAGCAGAGAATACTAGGTTGAATTGAAAGATTCTTGTATGAAATCTGATTTGCATGTAGATTCAAAGAGTTTCCTAGCTTAATACCAAATGATATGTATGAGTGCATGTACAAAAGCACATATTGTTTTTTTGGAGGATCCGACATGGGTGCAACAATATTTTTGGTGAGTCTGAGCTCATAGGAAGCAAAATACATATCACCTGTCAAATCTCTACTCAGCTTTCCAGGAGGACAATGGTGGCGTCTCTGAATGTATCCAACAAAATAAGATTTACTAGTGTGAATTATAAGACTCTAAATAATTCATTTGCAGTAAGAACGAAAAGGCCAATAGTTTCACAAATTATGACTAATAAAGGATAATGTGAAAATTCAGGTAGCCAACCAACTGAACAACTAACCGTTCTCTCCTTCCACACACTTTGATCAATCATTAGGAATGGATACTAACCTTCCAATTAATTAGTTGTTTCTCTGTATATATCATAAGCTGTGTTATTTCATCAAATAATCCAATCATTGACTTTGAAAACCAATGGGAATGCATATTAACCTGCCAATCATGTATTAGCTGTCTAATAATTAATATGATAAACCCAAGAATTATTCATTCATTAAATAATACAAGCATTGATTTTTTGGTAGGATTTAGATCTAGTCCATTGGTTAAACCATAATATTATTCATTCACTAATCTTGTTAGAGTATGACACAAACATTTCCTCCTTGTTACATGTTAATCATGCTCATATATTAATATTTTCTTGTTAGTTTTCTCCTACTGTAAATCTTTATCAGGTAATTTTTCAATAAACATTTTTATAATACTTATCTATTTAGTGGAACCTGCTTTAAATATAGATATCAACAAATTAATTTTTTGTTTTGTAGGATATTTGGATCAGAACTTGGATATACAAAAAGTCAAAAGAAGATCGATCGATCGATTACTATTCACTTGATAGCAAATTGTAAGATATATTGAATACTTTCTATTGCTTTCCATTTTGATATAATAGTTGAATTATCAGATAGTTGAATTACTACTATTCAATTTCATAACTATTTGCAACCTGAAATCATTTATTTGTTTATTTTATTTTTTTTCCTTCTATTTTTCTGTAACAAAACTAACAATACTTTACGTTATCAATGGATGAATATAATCTGTTTATACCACTAACTTATTTAGAATAAGTTAATACAAAAACAATATGAAGCAAACAAAATACAATAATGACTACGCTTCAATCCCAATCAAGTTAGGATCAGCTATATGAATCTTCACTAACTGTGTTGATCCATTCAAGTTAGGATCAACTATATGAATCTTCACTAACTGCGTTGCTCCATTTAAGCTAATCTCAATATGAAGAAAAAAAATGGGAAAATAAAAGTTATTTATTGTACTCTCTTTTTGTTGGGCTATTGCCCGTGTTCCAGCCAAAGGCCCATGGCCTAATCTTACTTGAAAAAGGATTGGAATTATTCTCTTTATTTGGTTTTCAATTCTATTAGGAAAAGGATTGGAATAGTAATCCTATTTGGAGTTGGTTTTGGCTTTGTAAGGAAAAGCACAACTCTATAAATAGAGGATGATCTTGAGAGAATAATTAAGATTGCTCATTAATATTGTCTTTGAAAGACATTAGGACATAAGAGAGGTTTTTGAGAAAGCTTTCAACAAGAGATAAGAGAGAAGAAAAAGGGTTCTTTTGCTGCAGTCCTATATTCCGACCAGCAACCTTCAGATCGTGTTTTCCGATTAACTAACCGTTGGATCGGGCTGAAATTTGTACTGAGTGTTCCTGACATCTTGGTGGTTGATTTGAACGGTGGAGATCGGATTCGAAAGTCAGCAAGATCCTGTTTTAGGTCCCGAACAGCAGCTGGGTTTGGGTGGTGTTTCTTTCTATTTATCTTTTGTTGGTGTAGCTATTGTTTGTTCTCTTTTGGCACTTGTTGTGTAGCCATTAGAAGAATAATTGTAACTCTCTTATTGTTATAGTGAAGCAATTCGGATCTTGTCGATCCCGTGGTGGTTACCTTCGTTTTGAAGGATTTTTCCACGTTAAACTTGGTGTTCTTTATTTTAGATTTTCGTTTTTCATCTTTTCGTCACAACACTTTTAAGATGCCTTTTTCTTTTTTAAACATTTGAATAGTGAATAGGATTAGATTCATAATCCAATTAATTATGAGAGTATAAGTTTCTATGTAAAATTATAGTTGGTGAACTTGCAGGAATTTTTTACTTTTCCTACGGAAGATGGCTCAAAATGACATTGACAATGTGTTAGATCACCTAAGAAGGATCAAGAGTGGAGGTGATTTGAGTAGAGTCAAGATTCTGCAAATTGAGACACTTGAAATGCAGATAAGATTTTTTAGAACCTTTATTAAGTACCATCGTGTTCTTTTGCTTGATTTCTTAGTCAAAATCACAGAGAAGGCCGAATTGATTGTGGAAATGCTTCACTCAGTTTTTCCAGTTGAATGTGAAACTAACCTTAATGTGGAAAGGCTAGTATCACAGTTGCTGGAATTCAGTGAAGGCAATACCAATTTAATGTACAATTATGAGTTGAATGATTCAGATATGTTGGATTATATGGATTGCCTTGACAAGAACCTAAATGATGTACAGATGTGTATGGAACGGTTCATTCAGTATAATCGATTTTTAAAACAAATGAAAATCATTCAAAAGAAGATGAGATTTTTGAGATACTTATATGCCACAGAGATAAATGATTATGTTGACAATGAGAAGTTGAATGGTCTGGAGACACGAGTTCAGTTCATGGCTGACAATGTAGGACAATTTTGTTTTGACCTTTATGTTAATTTAAATAATACATGCATAGGTGAGGATGAATATGAAAGGGATTCAGATGAGGATGAAGATAAATGGGATTCAGATGAAACAGATACAGATGAGGATGAATATGAAATATTTGATATCTTGAGTAAACCTCCGTATCTGTTATGTTTGATTGTGTTAGTGGAGTTGGAAATGAAGAAGATTTTTCTTGGTGAACTAAAGGCTTCAAAGTTTACTCAATCAAAAACTTTCAAGAACAAGAAATTACCGAAAGGATATTCACATCATCTCCAAAGTCTACTGATGTATCTCAGAAACAAAAAACTCGAGAACTTTCCTAATAATAACTCTGCTCAAAATATTGATGTGGCAATAGAGTTCTTGTTGGTTTTACTTGATGCTGATGTGTCAAATCATGTTATCAATGGTAATTGGTTGAATGAGATTATGGAAAAGGTTGGAGCTATAGCGGGTGATATTCTATATGTAATTCAAAAGCTTCTTCCTAACTCTATAAACAAAGATGACACTAGCAAGATAAGTCTTTGCTCGATACGGTTATTGGAGAAAACTGAAGATCTGAAGGCACAAGTTGAGACATACTACAAATCCTTAAAATTTACTCTATCTAAGTTCCCCACCTTTGGTGGATTGAGCTTTCTGGATTCTCTTTTAAGCAAACTGAATGAGATGTCGAAATCTAAATCTGCTTTAGAGAAAGAGTTTTCATCTCTCACAACCATTTTAGAGATAGAGCTTTCATCTCTAACACTTGTTTTCAGAGATGTCGTGAAGGTGCAGCATAAACATGAAGAAGTTTTTAAAGATCTTCTGAGGCATACTGTCAATTTGGCATATGAAGCAGAAGTATCCGTCGACTCTATTCTTGTTCAGTATAATGCTCTTTCGCATACTTTTTGTTCACTTCCAGCGATCATAAAAGAGATCAAGCATATTCGTGCGAGGGTGACAGAGATGAGGTTTCAGAACTTTCCTCTTAAGCCCTTCTCTGTGGTAGAACCATCTAAGCATCTGCCAACTCAACATAGGAATCCTGTGAATGATGAGGTGATAGTTGGTTTTAAGAATGAAGCAGAAAAAATAATTCAATATCTGATTAAAGGTCCAAATGAGATAAATGTCATTTCAATTGTAGGCATGGGAGGGCAAGGGAAAACGACTATTGCTAGAAAGGTGTACAATAATGACAGAATTTTTTCTTGCTTCGATGTTAGAGCATGGTGCAGTGTTTCCCAAACATATAACCGGAGAGAGCTATTACAAGATATTTTCAGTCAAGTTACCGGTTCCAAGGACAAGGGAGATAAGGATGACGTTCTTGCTGACATGTTGAGGAGAAACTTAATAGGAAAGAGATACCTCATTGTGTTGGATGATATGTGGGATGGTATGGCATGGGATGACATAAGACATTGTTTCCCTGATGTTGGAAATAGAAGTAGAATAATGGTAACAACTCGACTTGAGAAAGTAGGTGAGCAAATCAAGTACCATACAGATCCTTATTCTCTTCCATTCCTCCCCGTAGATGAGAGTTGCAAATTGTTGCAGAAAAAAGTGTTTCAAGAGGAAGGTTGCCCTCCTGAACTACAAGATGTGAGTCGAAAAATTGCAGAAAAATGCAAAGGACTGCCTCTGGTGATTATTTTGGCAGCTGGAATTATCAAAAGGAATAAGATGGAAGCCTCTTGGTGGGATGAGGTTAAGGATTCTCTGTTTTCGTATCTTGGTGATTCTGAAGGATATAGTCTTTCGATTATGCAGTTAAGTTACAATAACTTACCTGATTATTTAAAGCCCTGCCTTCTTTACATGGGGATGTTTCGGGAGGATGCAATAATTCCAGTGTCCAAATTGATAAGTCTATGGATTGCGGAAGGCTTCATGCAGAATATTGAATCAGGGAGAATAATTGAAGAGGCAGCTGAAGATTACTTGATGGATCTCATTAGCAGTAACGTGGTAATGGTTTCAAAGAGAGAATATAACGGAAAAGTCAAATATTGTCATGTTCATGATGTAGTGCTTCACTTTTGCTTGGAGAAGGGTAGACAAGAAAAGTTCATGTTGTCTCTGAAGGGCGACTTTCAACAGTTGGATCGGAAGGAAAGTCGAGTTAGCTTCAATCACAGTAATAAGATTTCCAAGTTTGCAGCTCTTGGCTCTGAAACGTTGAAGCCTTTCCACCAACACTTGAGGTCACTGATAATGACAAATAAAGGAAAATGTCATTATTGGATTAGACAAGTGAGACTTCTTAAGGTCTTGGATTTGAGTTCTCATAGAGTGCATCATGTTTCGTCCGCTACAATGAAACCACTAATTCACCTGAAGTACCTAGCAGTTTCCGCAGAAGAATTAGACTTTCATCCCGAACCACATCTACTCCATTTAGAAACTTTAATTGTGGAAGGTTTGTTTGAGTTTGTGGTGTTACCAGAAACTTTTTGGAAAATGGAAAAATTAAGGCATGTTGAGATCAATCATGTTGAATTTGATTTGAACAACAATAAGCAAGGGATGTTTGAAGAATCTTCTAAATTGGAAAATTTGAGGATATTAAAGGAAGTTGAGATTATGGAGGATATTGTGGATGTGTTGTTACAGAGGTGTCCTAATCTTCGAGAACTCGACATCTTTATTCAGAGCGATAGAAATTCTCCAGAGATTTGTCTCAAAATGGAGAGTCTGCAAATACTTACCCTTTCCTTTGAGCGTTCCCTATTTCTATCCGGGTTACAGTTGCCTTCAAGTTTGAAGAAGTTGAAACTATCAGGGCCTCGTATAGAAAGCGTGATTCCCTTCATTGCCGGACTACCAAGCCTGGAGTATTTCGAAATACGGGAGTGGACTGGTATTGTTTGCAACAGAGAGTGGTGCCTTGGAGATATCACGTTCCATAAACTTAAGTTCTTGAAACTGGTGATGTTAGGTATCTCAACATGGGATGCCTCGGAGGAATCCTTTCCTATGCTTGAAACACTTGTTATTCAATATTGTGACAAGCTCAAGGAGATCCCCCTTAGTTTCGCAGATATTCCAACGCTGAAACAGATTAAGTTGATTGGGCACCGGAAAGAATCTCTTGAAGCTTCAGCATTGCAAATTGAGGAAGATGTTGAATATATTGAAGGATGCAACCGTCTTAACGTCATTATCAGAGTAAGTAGAAACAAAATTCCTATGTGCTGTTTTTGAGTATCTACGTGCATCTAATGTGCAAACAATGTTCAATACAGGATAGGTGATAAAATCTCTGGAAGCTGTGCTTGTCATTACAACATGGTAGCCTTTCAGTTTTTTCTTGTTCCTTTACGTTTTTCCCTGCCTCCTCTTAATTGCTCCATGTCGGTCTCCTCTTGACCAAGTTTGTCTTTATGTCCTTGGTATTTTCTTTTGGTTGAACAAATGCTTCTTTTCTATGCCTTGATGCAACTTTAAATGTAGGCTAAACCAGCAAAAGGGTCGACCTTATTGTTTTATTCATTAACTATAACATGCTGTAGCATAAGAGATTTCAAGCGATGAGGATGAGATGGAAAACTGGATTGAGAACCATGAGGTTCAAAATCAAATAAAAAACACTAGGTGATTTTTTTATACCTGTCTATGCCTTGATGAATAGAGTTATCTAGTACCAATGAGTCAAACAGTTTTTTCTTTTGATGACAACTTCGTTTAAACAACTCTACTTTTGTATCGTTCTAGTTATAACTATTGTGATTTCTAGGAAAGTTTCTATAATTTGGATATACCAAAAAAAAAAAAAAAAAATAAGAACTAATGTCCATATTCACACAAAAATTTGGATGCGTTGACTATGACACTATGACCCGCCATTCCTTGTGGGATAGGACTTAGGAGTACCTGTTTTGTACCTATTTATAAAGAGTGTTCTTTTTGCAATATCGATACATTATGACAACAACTACTCCCTCCATCCACAATTGTTTGGCAGGTATACTAAAAATAGATGTCCAAGATTAATTGTCAATTTAAACAATCAAGAAATAATTAGTCACTTTTTTCTAATTCTGCCCTTAATGATAGTATAGTGCAATTGAAAAGTTATGTGAACTTTTGGTATTCTTTGTACAGTAGGGTTATATTAGTCAAACTACACCTTGTATTAAATTTTCCTTAAGGGGTGTGCATGACCTTACCCTGACAAACAATTGTGGACGGAGGGAGTAATTCATATGTAAAGCACATATTATATATTGCCAGAGGATCTTGTTTGTCATTTTCCTTTATGCTCTAATTTTCAAGTAACAAGAATTTTATCTTCAACTTCATGTTAAATGGCGTTGGAAATTGTTTCTTTTATTGAGCAGTGTTTCAAGAGGATTTTATGTCTCCGGACAATGTAAAAAACCAAGAAGCGTGGAAATCTTCGCTCAGGTCCTTCTTGACTTCTAATAATTTTTTCAAAAAAAAAAATTAGTTAAGGGAAAAAAGAGGGAACTCGGCGTAAGTGTTGTATGATCTAGATTTTAGCTAAGAAGAATCACTTTCTAATATTATAAGACCATTAATGGAAGTTATTTGAATGAAAAACTATGAACAATTTTTTTCTCATTTCAAGCATATCAAATGACACTGATTCTCTAACTTTGTAGTTGCTCTAAAATGATGAACATTGAATAACTCTTAAGTAATTGTTTCGAGGCCTGTAATGGAAATTTATTGCAGACGCAATTCTTTTCTCATCCAAGATTCTAACAAAATATGATATGCAATCATAAGCGTATGTAAATCTTGTTATACGCACTAGTGTTCTAAACATCAATATTGTCATGCCCCGAGGCTACCCCCTAGATGTAACACGGGACCTAGGATCACAAATGACCCAAGCTAACCCTGAGTCTGGCATATCACAAGCATAATGAATATATAACTGAGATAAGCGGGAAGCATAACTAATAAATGAGTCAAAACTAAAGGACTAGAAATGAAAATATATAGAGGAAATACATAAAATTCCCCTCAAATTTGTCTGCAAAACTCATTTTAGCACTATAACTTTATGGACGTTTAAATACCCCCTTAAAAAACTTTCAAGTGAATTAAATACCACCTTATATATATTATTCCAGTTTCACAGTTGGGAGGTGATATACTCGTGCGCCACCTCGGTGCCACGTTGACAACACGTCATATGGTGAAATAATTTAGTTTTCATTTCTTTCTTTTTTCCATGTCATTTTTTGTATTTAGTTTTCATTTCTTTTTATTTCTTCCATATTACTTTTTGTTCTCATTTTCCCTGTTCACTCATCTTCTTTATTGTTCCATCTTATCCATTATAATGCTAAAATTAAAGTTCCCTAGGGTAGAAAACTAACACACAACATGATTTCTAATAATTTAACAAATATTATGTAAAACAGAGAAAAGGAGTGATACATATATTATCATCATTGAACAAGAGTTGCTAGTGCTTCAATGGCAACTATCGGCGACTGCTTCAACGACAATTACAAGAGTCTTATATTAGGCTCAAAATTGACAGATCTGAAGGTTTTCAAACCTTTTACCATGGTTGCCAAAAAAATGAATACACATAAAAAGACAAAATAAAATAGGAAGAATGAAAGAAATCCAAGAAAAAGGAATGCCCGGCGTTTTGTCCAATTCATCGGCGTGGTGAAATTTTTTGGCAAGATCTGATGGTTTCACGACATCTAGTCTCTTTGCAGAGCAGTGATGAAGGGAGTGGCAGTGAGGTCCTTCATGTTTGTCTATGATTGCCATCAAGATTGTTTTTCGGAGGTCCGGCCGTCGCGGAAATAGAGAGAGAACTAAACAATTTGAGAGAAAGGAGATGAAACATGCGTTGAATGAAGACAAAGTGAGACCCACTTATTTTTTTTAAAAAAATCTTGCTATTTACGCACCTAAAACTTTTTTATTTGTCACGTCAGCCATTAAGGTGGTATTTAATTCACTTGAAAGTTTTTTAAGGGGGTACTTAAACATCCGTAAAGTTATAGTGCTAAAGTGAGTTTTGCGGACAAGTTTGAGGAGGATTTTATGTATTTCCTCAAATATATATATGAATATCTGGGGGAAAACAACCCCAAAACACTTAACACTGACTCTAGGTCTGAAAGCCTCTACTACTGATGAGTTGTTGGGACAAGTCCCCATCTACCTCAAAAAAATTACAGAAATACTGAAAGTAAACTAACTGAACCAGACATAAAGAAACGCCTTTGGACTATAAGGACTCACTATTGAAATTGTTGAGTATGGGCTAGAAATCGTACTAAGCATGATCTGGATGCTAAGCGCCTGAACCTACATCATAAAACGATGTAGCGCAAAGTATGTGTCAATACTTTGAATGTACTGAGCATGCAAGATATAGATACTAAGATGAACGATATAAACAAAACAATGTAATACTGACAATATAGAATGAGCATGGCAGTAGGTTGTACTGAAGTATAACTGAAAACTGAGCTAGATGCAATGATCAAGTACTAATCATGAAGATAACATATTGAACTGAATATTGCAGTAAATGTTGATAACATGGTCAATGAAATAAGAGTATGATTGTGGGAGCTACTATTAACCAACATAAACCACATGAGCTAAACGTGAAGTTCGATGTATCAAGAGGACGCAATATACCTTGCCAGGGGTATAAAGGCATGACTGTGGCGTGATCACTAAAAATTGATGCCCAACAGAGGGGACTTCTGGACCTACGTTGGCACGTAATTTTGGGACTTTGAGGGTATGCTGAACTCTAGTCCAACTCGGTGCTAAGTCTACCCCCAATTGAATGTAAAGCTAAAATGCAACTGAAGTACTGAGTGGCTCAAAAATACTGACATGTTATCTGAGAGTGCAATATAAATATATTAAAAGATATGGCGTTCGAGTTCTAAAGCATGATTTTCTGACTAATCTACCTAGCAAATATAATTCATGAGTGTTGATAGTTAATACAAGCTAAGGTTCTAAATTCTATTCATGGAACTATGCAAATATTCCAAGAGACATGTTATTTAGATCGTGGAAACTAAAGCAGCTAAAATCACAATGAACCACCAAGGTTTTGGAAACTCTAGGTCTGAACAATTTATGAGAAATTGAAGGCCTGACTGAATTCTAGGGACCTAATGGGTAAAAGGAACCCACTAGTAAAATCCCACATACCAAGTGACGAAAACTACGGAGAAATTTCTTTGGATTTCGGGGCTGAACTTGAAGAAGACCTCTGCTTGTTTTTGGGAAAGTTATCGCCTTTTTTCTCTTCTTTTTGTTCTAAGTTAGATGATTTTAGGAGAATGAGGGTTCTGGCTAGTGTCTGACTATATTATTAGGCTTAGACTAAGTAAAACAACGTAGTTTAAACATTAAACAACGTAGTTTAAGTACCAAATGCATAGGGAAAACGACCTAGCTTAAGCATTATTAAGCTCTTCTCAGAAAACAGTTTGGACCCATTTTTTATACTTGAAAAACTTTATAAGGAAAAAATTTCAAAATCTATTATCAAACATATCTTGGGAAATAATTTATTTTTTTAAATCTATGGTCAAATACATCTTTGAAAATATGTCCTTTTTTTAAAATCTGATCAAATAACATACGGACTTCTATACAAAGTTTAAGCACCACTAAGCCCTATATAATCCTTCACTTTTTCTCCTCTCAATGAACTACTTCTTCTTCCTTTTCCCTCTTGTGGCTCATTGCACAAGAAAGAAAAAAAAAAAAACCCTTTCATGCAATGGCCATTGATAGTGTAATCACCTATGCTAGATGAGGAAAAACCATTGATTTTTATGCATCCCATATGAAATATGAGTCCAACATTTCCATACAATACATACGGACGGATGACGAGAATGCTTGTGTTGTAGCACAAGAACTTCTTGTTCCCCTTATTGACCTAGTCAACAAGCATCTAGGCTTGTTGGTGAAGCGTGCAAGAGTCAAGGTTTCTTTCTTGTAATGAACCACAGAGTTGACACTAATATCATCTCCAATGTCCACCGTTACATGGTCACGTTCTTTGACTTGCCTCTCTTTGAAAAGCAAAAAGCTCAGAGAAAAATTAGTGTGTATTGTTGCTATGCCAGCAGTGTTACTGGAAGGTATTGACACCCAATTTTGTCCCTCCTTTCTACTAATTTATTTCCTTGAACTTATATACTTTTAATAAGTGTTATACTTTATACTTCACTGCTATTTTTTATTTATTACTATATTATTATTATTCTTAATATTACTATTATCGTTTTCACTCTTTCTTAAAAATACTAATGTATTATCAACACCAATATTTTTACTTCATTGTCATCTTCTTTAAAATAGATTGTTGTTACATTATTTAAAGATTGTTATTTACTAAACTTTTTATATAATATATATTATACTAGCTATTAAATTAAAAGATCAAACAAATTAATTTAAGGAAAAATTACTTAAATACACAACACTTCTTTACCTATTCTCAATAATTCCCTACTCTTTTACTAAAATACAAAAATCCCTTATTTTCCCCCAATTCAACTTAACCGGATACTTTATTAGTTTAAGTATCCGCCCGTTTTTAATTAAAGTATATGCGCTGCTATATTATGCATCCACCCGTTAATTAAGTATCCGTGCTGCTAACAACTTAATAATTTAAGTATCCGCCCGTTATTAATTAAAGTATCCGCGCTGCTATATTATGCACCGCCCGTTAATTAAGTATCCGTGCTGCTAACAACTTAATAATTTAAGTATCCGCCCGTTATTAATTAAAGTATCCGCGCTGCTATATTATGCACCGCCCGTTAATTAAGTATCTGTGCTGCTAACAACTTAATAATTTAAGTATCCGCCCGTTATTAAAGTATCCGCACTGCTATATTAAGTATCCACACTGCTATATTATGTATCTGAAAAACACTAAAAAAAGGGATTTTTGGTAATTAATGAAAGAGTAGGGAAAGGAAGTAATTTGTTTCTTATACTATGTCATTTGCCTAATTTTTACTTAATTTAAAGAAGGAAAGAGGTCATGAAAATCTGTCCATTTCCCAGCCCATTTACAAGCTTAAGATATTCAACAATCAGCCCAAAAGCCCAAATCGTCTAATCCCATCATCAAATTATCTCTATTGATTCTAGGGGAAACTAAGCAAATAGCCACTAATTACAAACATATACCCATTTACATTCATACCCACTAAATAATTACACTATATACCCCCTCCCTCCCCCCCCCCCCCACACAAATTAATTTCGCTTAATTGATACCAAATCGGTATCATATATTGTATTAGTATCATTAAGGCTGATAATTTCGTTTAACTAATACTAAATCGGTATCATATACTGTATCGGTATCATTAAGGCTGATAACTTCGTTTCCCTAATACAAAATCAATATATATATACACTCTCTCTGTCCTAATTTATGTGACACTTTTCGTTTTTCGAGAGTCAAACAGTTTAAGTTTGACCGGGAATTTGCTCATGGAATCTTTAATTCTTTTGAAATAAAATTTAGGGAAAAGGGTTTGAAAAATACTCCAACTTTGGCCGAAATTGTTGTTACGATACCAAATTTTATGGAGGACCTTTTACCCCCTGCACTATTTAATAGTGTATTTAAAAGGTATTTATGTGCCCACGTGAACACGTTATTATTTGTAATTATGTAATATTTATGATGTCCACGTGGGCATATATACCTTTAAAATACATTATTAAATAGTGTAGGGGGTAAAAGGTCATTTTCAAAGTTTGGTATCGTTACTGCAATTTCGATCAAAGTTCGGATATATTTCAGACTATTTTCCCTAAAATTTATATATTTGTAAACTACGTAAAAAGTACTATAAGTCACAATAATTGAAAATTCAAAATGTTTTAAAAATCTATAAAAAAAATTACGGTCAAAGATAGACTTGTTTGAATCTTGAAATCCGAAAAGTGTCACACAAAATGGAACGAAGGGGATATATATTTTATGATATCATTAACAATAAATATTTATACCTCATGATTCGCAAAAGCGAGACCTGGGAGCTTGGCTTGCTCCAGATTACTCTTTTGAATCTTGAAATCCAAAAAGTGTCACACAAAATGGATCTTGAATATGAAGTGACATCTTCATCAAGTAGGTAATTTGATCAATTACTTACCTAACCGAATATTGACCCCTTCAAATCTACTAATGCATCTCGATTTCCATAGCTCCCAACATATAATACTAGGCAAACATTGTAAAATCACATCATATATTTATTATATATTGGGTTGAGGTTGTTCTCATATCTTAAAATTAAGAACACATAAACTTCAAATCATGATTCTACCTCTGAGAAAGAGTGTAATATTACCTTCGATTATCTTCTCATCACTACTTTTATTATATTGGCGTATCATGTTAGAGAAGTAAAAATAATTAAGAATTTCCTCGTATTTGTTCTTAATATTACTATACTTTACTGTAAATATAGTATAATTCATATATTGTTCTTCTTAATACAATGTAAAAAAAAAAATTCAAGTATTAAAATAAAATTCTTGAAACAAATATTGCAAATCCCACAACATGATTCATTAAAAAGTACAAAGAAACTATTAAAAAAAAATTCATCAAAAATGTAAACTGTTCAACTTAAATTACTACTAGTAGTAAAGTTGAAATTGGAACATGAGGTACTATAAGCCAAAACTGAAGAACTAAATCCTAATTTTTCTTGTTCCAAATCAAATTGCAATAAATTATTCTCCATTTGATGTCCTCCAATTATGATCGATGTTTCAGTCTTAATCCCACCGTCCAAAAACCCTAAACACCACACATCAATGCCATCTCGTGCAATCCTAACCATCGAATTCGATCCAAATATCCTCCAGAACACATCATCATTGTCCATCACAAGATCAACGGTTGGAACAGTCGGTCCTACCTTCGTATCCAGTACCTCATCTGCATTATAACAAACCTTAAATGGTTCCACAGGATTTGTTACTGTGAGGTTGAGCTTAGCAGATTCATTTACAAATGTCTCAGAGAATGCATTGTAGATGTTACTCTGTAATGTAGTGTATGGAGTTATGGTGCTCAGCTTGGTCCCACCAAATCCTTGTTGATCAACGGCTGAGATATTCTGGTTCAATTGTACGGTAACTCCGTTGACTTTTATAGAGGTCAAATTAATGAAATAGTCAGAATGAACCGGGTTCGGTATAAGTGGGGTGTAACGAAGGGTTTTTGAGAGGTCAATTTCGGGTAAAAGGTAATACGGTCCGGCTGAACCGAAGAAAGCTACTCCAGGAGCAGACGGTGAACCGGATAAACATAGCGCAAAAGTGCGTGTAGACGAAAAAGAAGTGCTGACCTGCGTAAGATAAAATTCAAGATTTTAAGTCGGTGAATAGAAGATATAATGTATTTTAAATTACAGTTTTTGAAAATATTAAATTGAGTAAGTATAACAATTTGACGAAGGAAGTAACATAATTCATTAAAGTATCTATCCAAAGTTTTTTTTTCTTTTTCTCCTTAAACGTGTCACTTGATTAACACCGCCATAAATGGACAAAACAAGAGTAAATTAAAATTAAAAAGTTTTAGTAGAAAAAATAACAATTTATTGCTTAAAAAGGTAAAATACTAGCTATATCCCTTTTGAACCTAAAAGAGACAAGGAATTAGTATGATATTGAGTTCATTGATCCTCTTAAAATAAATATTTACGTTACTTCTAAGTTCTAAATTACGTAAAGTAATATAATATCAAAAAATTGTGATTATTAGAAATTTTAGCAATTCCTAAAAATGTCCAATTGAAGTGTTTTCCCAAAATAGAACCCACGTAGAGTGAATCCGAATTAATCACAGTGATTTGAACCTGAGTAGTGAGGGAGAATCTGGACCGGCCTAACCCGGCTAAACCGGCTACACCTTTGGTAAGTCCTTTAAGCAAAGATTTCTTCGAGCAAGACAAAAAAACTCAGAAAAACCCCTAAGTTGACCTGGATTCCTCCCGTCGGTAACCGGCAAAGCTATGGATTCAACAATAGCTTTGCCAGTAGAGGATTTATGAGTAACGGAGTTTAACGGAGAGAGAACACAAGGGCTAGTGGAACAATCATCGTGAAAACACTTAGCACAAGCGCGAGATCCAATAGCAGAGCATAAAGGGGAATTGCAGGAAATTGAACGATGAGTAGAGGAATTGGAACAATCCATCCACGAGTAAGACGCGCTCAAATCGAGGAGGAGATTGGTGAGTTGTGGAGGGGAATTCAGGTAAAGAGAGAGAGTGTAAAGAAGAGTTTCATGGTCTTTTGTAATGGATGATAAAACACCTGAAGAAGAAGAAGAAGGGGGAATTAAGAGAGAACAAGTGAAGAAGAAGAAAAGGGTGATTAAACTAATGAGTTTATAGGGAAGCATTGTGTAAAATGTTAGGAAATGGACATTTCTTTCTTTTTTGGGAGCATGGATTCAATATTTAAAGTAGATGATGGTATATATACCAATAACGCCTAGTGCGGTTTATATTTTTGGTGTGGTTTGTAGGTTATTACACAGTGGAGGTTTATCCAGTGCGCACAAAGTGTTAACCACAGAGTGCTCACCCGAAGGGCAAAGATTGTGACAGAGATTGTAGCAGTTGCGGGTTATCCTGGGGTTCCAAAAAATAACAAATTGGTTTATGAAAATATAACTCGCATAATTTGCTTGTTTATGGTTTTCTTCGTTTTAATTTATAAGATATAATTTAATTAAGAATAAAATCCATCATTTTTCAGAAATAAGAAATCAAGGAAATATCCAAATATTTTAAAGTAGACAACTTAATTTTTTTTTACTACTGAATGTGCACAACTCTAAAACTCACAATCGAAATTTCTTGGAGTCCTTGATGTTTTTTATTTTACAATACTCTTTGCATTTACAAACATCTGGTTCAACTGAATATACGTACTTTTCGGATTGTTAAGACATGACTATCAAATTTCAAAAGTCAAAATATAAAGTATGAAAAAGTAGAAGATGAATATGAAAAAGTTGAGTGAATAACTCATATTTATTGTTGAAGAAAGAGATATAGATTTACGTGAGTGGGGTTAACAAAAAGAATTATAGTTCGTTCATTTGTGGGTGAACTACCTTTAAGATTTGTATAATATTAGTTTGGATGAATTTGGAGTCAGAGACTACATCGTTAAAAGATGGTAGTTGTAGTTCGCCCATAAATGGGCGAATTGTCCATTTTGGTATGTGTTTTTAGATAGGGTCCCTTTTGGTGTTTAGGGTTCAAAAAGTGTCCAGTTTAGTGCCGGACTCTTTAATTGTCACTATGCAACGGCGGATGCAGGATTTTCATTGAGGGGATTCAAAAAATAAGTAAGCACGCAGCAAGCTAAAATGTGATAAAAAAAAAAAAAAGAGGCTACCCAGACAATCTCGCAAAGCCAAGAAGAGTTGGTTGAATCTTGAACCCACTTTACCACTGAACCAAGTCTTTAGCTTATGCTGAGGAGGTTCATTATTAAATATATACATGTAAATCAGTAAATCGATCATATATATATATATAGTGTAATTTTTCGACGAAGGGGTTCATTCGCTTCATGTAGTTCCGCCCCTGTCACTATGGCACACCCATTAAGAAAATAATTATTGATATAGGTTTTGCTATACTATCCATGTTAAATGATGTTTAGTATTAAGTCATTGAAATGATTTGGAGAATAAGTATTTAATGCTAAGAGTAAAACATGGAAAAAAAACTATTATTTTTTATATGTCAAAAGTGACAAGTAAAATCGAAAATATATTTTTAGAATAAGTGACAAGTAAAAGTAAATAAAGAGAATATTTTTTAAGTTAAATTATTACTCTAAATATAAAAAAAATTGTCTTTCTTTTAGAAACTAAAGCTTATCATGTAAATTGGAGCAAAGAAAGTAATTTTTTTTTTCTTTGTGACTTATTCAATTCAACTCGTTATTAGGTTGAGTTCGGCTAAATATATAGCCGAGATCGATTCATGATTAATTTTTTGGTAATCATGATATGTTGTTTACATTTTATACCCCATGTCTTTATCAAAGAGAGAAGAATTGCACAAACTTTATAAGAAATTCAGAACTCTCATCTAAATTTGATATATGTTATCGTTCTCATCAACAATTTATTATAACGAGTGATTGGTGAATATTGATAAAACTGAATTTAAAAGTTTTACCTATTCTAATATTATAAATTACGTACATGACTATTTCATTTAAGAATTTAAAGTGAAATATTAAACTTTGATTCACTTAATTATGATTTCAAGATGAGCTATGAACGTCATGTTTGGGGTACAACTAGGGATGAGTTTTCATCAACTAGACGATGATGATGATGAGCTAAACTAGTGCAGAAGTGTACGTACGTAATAGATATACATATATTGTTGTTTCTATGAATTTGGATAAGGACAAATGTTGTTTGATGTTATCAAATTATAATACCATCTATAGCGCTGTGTGTCGACAAATCATTAGCAGTTTCACACATCAACAAGACAACCCAAGCCTGGCTGGATCGAGGGATTCATTCGGACACTCTTTAGCGGAATCACTTAAAGATACAAATAAAAAAAAATTACATAAATATACAACTTAAAATATCATAATCTCTAAAATTTTCTATTATTTAATAAAATTCCCTCTTAGATACATCTATATTCCCTCTCATATACATCTATATTCTCTTTCAGATATATGTCTATCCCTTTTTCGATACATCCCTATTATCTCGGATACATCTCTATCCTCATCGGATACATCTCATCTCCTATCAGATATATCCCTATCCTCTTGGATTCATTTTTATTCCCCTCGGATACATCTTATCTCTTCTCAGATATATCCCTATCCTCTTGGATACATTTTTATTCCCCTCGAATACATTTCTATCCCCTCTTGAATCTCTCTCATTAATTAATGTATCATTTATAATGTATCGGACAACCAATAAATGTATCTGATTTTATAAGTTATACTAAAAATAACTTAATTGTTAATTCTGATAATTATCTCAAACTTTACAACGAAATAAGAGATTAAAGAATACTAAAAAAATTATCTTAAAATTATTTTTCCTTTATCCATCACACCAATAGTGTTATACCAAAAGTGTAGTTTAATGATAATGTTGTAAATTAAATTACTTGTTTAAAAAAAAAAGGCTTTTGATATATTTAATTGAGTTTAATGTATAGAAAATTTATAAACATTATTCTATTTAACCATTTAACACAAAATTTGGACTGAACAAAATGTGAAAAGGCAACTTCATTTCAAACGTCGGAGTTAGTAATAAACTAATAATGTAGCCTCATGTATCGACAACGTCGTACGACTGAAACAAAAGGTCGTGTCACCTAGGTAAATTGGAAACCTAGTTGTCCCAATATTAAGCCATGCATTTCAAAACAAAAGTCAAAGATTAGGTAAGGTAATGTATAAGGTGAGGACATGAACAATTATGTGAGGGATGCCATCATTTATGAGAAAGGTAGACATCACCTTGAGTAACAATAGTAATTACTATAAATAGCCCACAAGATGCAACAACACAAGCTAAGACGTATAACAGGTCATGAAAATTATTCAACCTACTTAAATTTGGACTGATTATTGATCTATTCATTTATTAGCTCTGTTATTGATAGCCATAGTTTATTAAAAAAACTAGGTACTTAAAATTATACAGAATAAATAAATCAACTAAAGCATTAGTAAGAATTGGACAGCCAGGTTTTGACTAACATTTTAGCATATTTTAGTCCAATCCATTTGAGCTCAAATATCTTTTAAACGGGTCACTAACTCACCTATTTATCAACTTAACCCATCTAGACTCGTCCAAATTCAATCCGACACTCATTTATCGTACCTCTAAGTATGTAACACAAGCTTACTTATCTTAGCAATCTCTTTTATTTCTCATTTAGAAATATGATATCTACTTTGAAATCTAATTAGTTTGAATTTCAAAAAATCTCATTTTAAAAACAAACCACTCCCCTCAAAAGCAATTTCATTTTCAGGACTCAAACCCCCAAACCTCAGTTTTTTAGAATAAAAATATTATCTTCCTACCACAACCTTTGGTGATTATGAGTTACCTTCTTCATTAACACTCCCAATTAAAGAATTTAATTTCAATAGACTAACGTCCTATAATTTTCATAATACTAGCAACTTATAATAACAATCACTCATGACACGGAAACATGAAATAGGGTAAATAATCGGTCAAATTACAGTAAAACGTAAAAACTATCTAGAATGTTGGTGTATATAAATTAAGATTAATTAAGCACTTCACAAAAATGACCAATTTAGGCATCAAAGTAGTACCTCCATCAAGTTAGCACGCATACTATTAAACCACCTCATATATATGTTTCCAGGGTGAGCTCGAGAACTTCAATTGTTGTTGATGTGTACCAACATGAGAACCTTCAATTTCTCAGCTCTGTTTTCAACATGTCATCATATGGATCAATATAGGTTACTAGGTTTGGTCTTATAGTAACTTCAGTGATTCCATAAGAAATAAAAACATGCTGTTTTGCTATCAATAGCATCCCTGCGCCTGAATAATCTAGGCTACCAGATTGTGAGGACACAAAACAAGAAGAGTTAATATTTCATTTCAAGATCATAGCTCCTACATATGTCCATTTACCACATCTTACAGTAGATACACAAAATCACAACAAGGCTCTACTTTGAACACTAAATTTGAAAGAAAAGAACAATCAGAACATATTACTATTTCGCGCTTACCTTTCCTAGAAAATTTTCCAATCACCACTTAGACCTCTTATTTGATATTTTCCTTGACATTCCCAGAGCTCTGATGGACTGAGCAAACAAAAATTTAATGCCCAATACTTGTACCCCTGAATGATGAATGACGACTGCAAAGAACCTGCAGTCATTGTTAATTAGACTATAACCTCCTCCTTTGCCTCTCAACTCAATCCCTCAATGGGGGCAGAGATAAGATCCCTATATAGTCACTCTTTCAACTTGGCAAATCAGAATTTGACAAGAAAAATAAGCCTGAATGATGAATAACGACTACAAAGAACCTGCAGTCATTTTTAACTAGACTATAACCTCCTCCTCCGTCTCTCAACTCCAACCCTCAATGGTGAAAAAGAGAAGATGTATTGGGGAACAAACATATCGCAGCAAATTCCTCACTGCCTTCTCCAGACATTTCTAAAAGTTCCACTGTGACGATTTGCCCAGTCAGAGTATACAGGTAGACCTGCGACTATATCTATCTCATCTAACAAGGTATCCTCTGTAAGAGTGCCCTCTATGTTGTGCTTTGCCTGTCCATAAGATGTTTCTTAAGTCAATAATAGTTGGAAAAGCTGTAAATGAAGGATGATATTGCTATATGACAAACCTCCTCGTAGACACTAATATAATCTGGGTTTGATTTGTCTGTTTGGATCTGCACAAAGATCCAAGCATCTTCATGAGAGTTCCAGGAACACTCGATTATTCTACCAGAGTACAACGATAAATCAGTTCCATCTGCAGGAGAAAGTACCAATCAGACCAAACTTAGGTGGCAGCCATATTATCTAAGCAACAAAATCTGCTAAGCATTTCCTAATAGAATTCAAGGGATAAATCTTCATATTCTTACTGCCAGCTGGAACAAACGGGCCTTGAAAATAAAGGACAGAAATGCAGAGATCTTTTTACTACTGGAAACTCCTCGGAGATTGAGTTCAGGGAAAGGAGAAAGAGAAGATAATCAAACCTTTAAACATCACTCTGCAACCTTCAATTAGTTTCTTGTTTCCGTGTTCTTGCAGATAAAGCAAACTACTACCATCAACTCCCACCTGCCAATGCCAACTTGTTAATCAGATTACCCAGGTACTAAAGTTATCACAACCATTATGTGATGTTATCTCCTACTATTAATGTGCAGACAGAGAAAGGCTCAAGCATATATACATTTACAATATACAACAGTTTGAGATCTAAATATGACAGAAAATATAACCACCTCAAATAGAAAATCAACAGTATTTGTTCCAGGATATTTCCATTTCAAACGTCCATCATGATCCCGGGGCGCATAAGTTGCATTCCAGGCCTGTATTGTAAACTATCAGGAGCCAGAATCCAGTTATGCAAAGTTGCAAGAAATTTGATGTACAAAATATTATATTAGCTTCGGAATGTACCGACCATAACAAAGTGAGTTGCTGGTCCCAACAACTTTACATTATAACCAAAAACACGCACACACAGACACCTAAAGAGGGGGCAACAAGCATGTAAGTAAAGGTAATTACAGCAAGGAGCATGTAATTGAGGGTAATTACACTTAATTTTGGTGGACAAAATTAGTTCTGTCAAATAAGACCTATGAGAGTGAATCACTTGAGTGCATTTGCAGAAGAAATCATTCCATCCTATTTTTCTTCAAAATATCACTCTCTTACTATTTCTGTCCCTTTTTCTTTAGCTCCGCATCTTAACAGGTTCCTATTCCTTCTTTAGATCTTGATTCTCTTTCGGTTTCTCTATTCATTATTCCATTCAAAACCACAAACGGTTCTCTTTCTTTTCTTTGCTATCTTAGAATTTTCATGTAATCGAGATTCAGCTTCTTTGCATAAAAGTCAAGTTCTGCATTCCAGCTTCTGTCCTTGAAAAATTGTTTTAAGTAGCACCCTATCTGAATTGACTTAACACACACACACACACACACAGAGCAGTTCTAATGAGCTAAATCTCTGTCAATGGAAGTTCTTGATCTCCAATATTATTACTGACTCCATTCAGTTCATTAAATTGAATTATATTAGCTAAAGTAACAGAAAGCTGCTGCTAAACAGATCTTCCCAGGCCAAATGACGAGCTTAATCTATCAAATTCCAGCCTAATGTCCCTTTGTCTCTCACTGTCCTCATTCTTGGATGAATGAAATTGCAGAGCTCACTAGCACAATTCTAAATGTACTGATATCTAAATGAGATACAAAAGAAAGCTGGAATACTATGGACACTTCTGATAAGGTTGTGCCAATATTTCTTTAATTTATATCTATATGATCTTGATATGACAAACTTGATCGTCAATATTAAACAGACACAAGTAGATCCCACAGAACCTGAAAGATAAGCCCATCAGATGAATGTGGAAGACTTGGCATTGTATCTTTTATGAGCATAGAAGCTGCAGATAGCAAATAGAAATCCTTCCTCCTCACCTGACATCCACAAAACAATCATCAATCCAGAAAGGATCATAAACTTACAGAAATTAGAGATCCTTTATTGAGATCATACATACTTCAAATGGTTCCAGGCCATAGTGGTGGTACGGATTTACACACGTGGATAAAAAATCACGTTCAAAGTTTCGGGGACGGATCACCTCTTCTTCAATTAGCCTTAATCGATGATGGAAAGGTAGCTGCAAAAGTATTTGGATGCAGAATTCATAAAATAAGCAATTTTTCAGGAAAACCCAATCAAATTAAAATTATAATATATGCCAAAGTGCCGACTGTCGAAAGAAAATGGTACGGAGCTTGCCACAGAAGGCAAATCTGTACATAACTGAAGGGAAAGATGAAAATACTCATGAAAGAATAGTCCACATATCTAATTTCATAAAACTACTCCAGTAAACCTGTATTCTAGAATGATTGACTGCAGAAGTCTGAGGATTGATGGTCCTCATGACATTCACAAAAAAGACAAATTTAACCTAAGAAGCAACTATTATTCTACACTCTTTTGGAAATGTTAATTGTGGCCACATTACCATCCAAATCTACATCTCATCCTTGAATGAAAAGGTAAGCCAAATATAAATCACAAAAAGTTAATTCAAGTCATTTTGGCTGATAAATATGTAAGCCAAGACATACCTCTGTAACAGAGGATTCATTAAATGCCATCATATCATAGATGAGGTAAATAGTCTTCTTCACTTGTGTCTCAGGCTCAGTCTCAGTAATCAATTCACCATCAAGTAACGTGCAGCAATGAGTAATGTCAGCTCTACCCTACAGGAAACTCGTAAATCTTCTACAGCAGAAAAAGACTGAAATCGTAAAGCTGCAGAACTAGTATTCCTCATGATGGCGTACAAGAGGTCCTCTATGGACAAACTACCTCATAGATATGTTTGCGAGGAAATCGCAACTGGACCTTCCTGAAATAGAACTGTGGATCAATCAAATAACAATCCTCCTTGTCTATTAGCATCATGCATCGTGGCACCCCAGCACTCCAAGTGACATGGTAGAGTTGCTGGCTTAGAAGATGCAATTTGTCCCTACAATTTGAAGCAAAGCAACACAGTTCCAGAAAATGAAATCAAGATATGCGTGAATACTGTTTTGACACAAATCCAAAATTATGCTTTCAGTATCCTGGAAATCTAATTATCTACTCCAGACATAAATGTACATTTTCTTAATAAGAAATAATGTTATTGTGCTCAAAAGGCAAAAAAATTATAACACTAAGACACTTGCTATTTGCCACTTAAAATCTTAAATATATTATGAGAACAAAGAACCAAAAATGAAAAATAATTTTCAATGCCTCTCTACCCCACAAAGGTGGGGTAAGGTTTGCGTACTTCTCGGCCTCCCTAGACCCCAATTGTGGCATTACACTAGGTTTGGTGTTTGTTGTAACAGTGCTCAAAATATCCCTTTCCCAGTGCAATTAATAAAAAACCCTGACCTATGCTTCAACATTATATAAAGCATGCACATTGTTTGTGATAGGCACATGCAGCTGAAATTACTAGCCAATCCTCCCAACGCTTACAGACAGCTGTAGATCACTCTTCCAGTTAATGAAAAACTTTCCAGATCTTTTCAATGCATGCAATATTTGTACTTCAAGAGATGCTTTAAAATTCTTAATAATGAGATTCTATAAAAGGCTGCTCTTTGCATGAAGATGATATTCAATCAGAAAGGAAAAGGTCATAAAATCCTAAATTTTGTCATGTAACTTTTTGGAGTACAATGTTTGGCTATTTCAAGCTGCTGTAAAGTATTGTAGAACTCAGGTATAAGAGACAGGTTCCTTTCAAATTAGTCTCATGTAAAAAAAATATCCAAAAAAGAAGAATTTATAGTCAACCTGTCGAGAGAGACCGGGTGTGATCCTGGAATTTGGGTATTTCTCGTGGCCTAAGGATCATGCACCAAAAGAAATAATAATAAACATTAAATCAAGCGCAAATCAACCACCTAAAGAAAACAGGATAACACTTGGACAGTGCAAAGCAAGAACATGACTATCATTCAGGAAATGTCACTACAACAAAAACAGTTTTTAGCGGCAATAAATATACACACTAACAAAGAGTGATAAAACCTCTACCGGCATTAGTTATTTGCCATCTAAGTTACTCGGGCTCTTCACTTTTGGTGCCGAACCCGTGTCGACACGACATGGGTGTGGGTGTGGGTGTGGGATCCGTGTCCAATTTGGCCAACGGATTTTGGGTACTTTAACCAAAATTGATGGGAAAGTTTGGACAATTTTAATGATTCCTATAATCAATACAAAAGCTAAGGTAAATCGAAGGAAATGGAATACCTTTTATAGAAATTTCTATGTCATTCATTTTCCTTTAATCTCCTTCCAGGATTCTCCTCAAGTTTTCCAATAATATCTCATAATCTAGGTTTTATAATTCTATTTTTAATTTTTTAATTATTTTTAAGTGAATCCCCGCGCACCCTTATCCATACGTGGATCCATATCCCCGAATCTTAAAAATTAGCCCATGAAGGATCCGACCTCTAGATCCTCACCCGTATTGGACACCCGCACCCGAGCCTGAGCAACTTAGATTGCCATAGATCCAATGTCACTATAGGTTTTAGGGACATTTACAAAGAATGTTAATTGCCTCAAAAAATATACATTTAGTGGCAATTAAGCTATTGTCATTAATTAATTGTCGCTAATGATCATTTTTTATGTAGTGTGTACGCAATTTGTTTCATCTGGGACTTGGGGTAAATATGTGGAAGAAAGTTCAAATCAAAATTGATGCCACAGGTAAGGTAAATTTTCCATGAGTACGAGTGAACAAGAGCTTTCCAATTCATAAAAGATATAGTTAAATAAATTAAAATAGAGATGATGTGCCATGAAAAATGAACTTTTGAATAGGAGAGAAATTCCAGGTGCTATGAGGCAGGGGCAAAGCTACGTGGAGCGAAGGGGGTTCACCCGAACCCCCTTCGTCGAAAAATTACTCTGTATATGCAAGGTTAAATTCTGGTTTTATATGTATATCTATTAAACTGAACCCCCTCAACACTAAAGGAAAGGATAGCGCAGTGGTTAAGGGGGTGCATTATCTACTGAAAGGTTTGTGTTCGATTCTCGCTGTGTGCATTATTTTTTGCTACTTTTTTTGCTTGAATAAGGCTGAGATGGGCTTAAGTTTTTTTGCTTTGAATAAAGCTGATATGGACTTAAGTTCTGGGCTCAGATTCCTATGAAGCTTTATTCTTCTTCTTTTTTTATTACTTTTCTTTTTATGCTATTTCTTTTTTCTCAATTTGTTTTTGTTTAAATTTACTAGCCACATTCTTTGTAATTTTACCTTTTATTCTTCTTATTTATATTGCTCATTTTGTTTCTACATAGCTCTCTTTCCATGTACTAAGTTGAAGAAATGATGAATTATTATTAAATTTTAAATTGAGTTAGAAAAATTATTTATATAAAACAAAGTAAATTAAATTTAATCAAACAAAGAAATTTATAAGTCGTGAATATTTTTTAACAAAATCTATTTAATTGATTTTTTTTCTTTAATTTTATAGTAATTCTTTCCTATTCTTTTTTCAATTTAATTCTAAAGAGATGGAAACTAAATTAATCTTATTTGATTTATTGATCATTTTTCTTTTTTACAAATGACTAACCTAGATTGAATTAAAAAATGATGACACCATTTATTTATCTTCTAAATATGCATTATAATTAGTAATTCAATCCTTGCCCCATTTTAAAAAATCTTGGTGGTTTTTATAGTAACATATGATTGAATGGACAAAAATTCATTTTTTCTAATTCTTTTCAAAAAACATAAAGTAGAACACTGCAAAACCAACAACAAAAAAAGAGCACAAGAATTTTTTTTTAAAAAAAAACTCAATGGAGAAAGGTAAAAGTAGAAAGAACCTAAACACGACATCGATAAGATACTTTAAATTTAGTGGGTTAGATTAATATTTTTCTTTTCCGTCTCACTCTGCTTTTCATCATGTATTTTGTACATATTTACTACTTTATACTTTGAACCCCTTCACGGAGATCTTGGATATGCACGCCACTGCTATGAGGCCATAGAGAATGATGTGCAAAAGATTAAGTTGAACTTCATCTTACTGCTTTATTTTGGTATAATCAGTTCTACTCTAATGACACTATTTCTATAATTGATGTCCTTAAATGTAATAGGAGCATTATAGAGTTCCAATTGTAACTAGTACTGTTTTCGGATATAATACACCGTTACTATTCTCAAAAAATGAACTTTTTAATAACTGGAACCTGTACATGCAAATTAAGCACTAGATAGCAGAAGTTCCTCATCCTCTGAACCTCAGCGAATGGGATACATTCGCCCTTAAAATCTGCATCTGACACAGCATCTGTTCTTGCAAGATTCCCCTGCAATAACGAGGTTCTGGCATTTTGAATAAAGATGGGGGATAAAAAGGGAAGAAAACAATAGGTACATAATACATAAATCCTGATTGTTGAGCAAATACTGCATACTGTTTAATAGGCAAACTATATTTTACTTAACCAGATCAAATTAAAAGTGTACTATCAGCTGAACAACGAGAAAACCAATTCAAGTCATACAATCATTGATACAAGGTGAATGATTAACAGATAAAGCATTTTTTTCCTTCAAGGAAGTAACAAGAGTTTACACAAAATGAAACCATGATTTTTTCAAAAAGCATCAGTTTTACAATAATTTATTACAAATTTTAGGTTTCTACTAAATCCAACAAATTTGCTTAGGAATCCTATAGTATCCCTTCTTCATCAATACCACCACCTACGAGTACTTCTCCTTCATCTCCTCCACCAATTTTCCAGCTCCACCTCTCTTGAGTTATCATCATCACAAGTTCTTCACATTAGTTCCAGATGATCCACGCACTGAATCAGATCATGTGTCTGTAGTAGACTTGTCTTCTCCTATTCCTATAATTGCCCTAGGGAAAGGCTTTCGCTCCACTCTTAATCCTAAGCCCAATTATGTTGGTTTGAGGTGTTATCGTCTATAATCATTATGTTTTTGTCTCATCTTTGTCTTCTATTAGTATCCCTAAGTCTACAGGTGAAACCCTCTCTCCTCCAGTACAAAGACAAAGTCTATGATTGAGGAGATATTTTACACTCTAGTAGTACTTGGGAACTTATTCCTCAAACTTCATGTAAATCTACTATAAAGTTGGTCGCACGGTAACATTGGTCAACTTTAGGCGTGTCAAGTGGCCAAAGGTTATACTCAAATTTTGTGTGCTTTTATAACATTGACACATTCTCTCTTGGCTAAAATTTCATTGTTCTGGTTGTTTGTCATTTGGCCTCTTTATCAGTTGGACATCGAGATTGTTTTTTTCCATGGCAATACATGAAGTATATATGAACCAACCACCTAGTTTGTTGCTCAAGGGGAGTCTAGTGGTCTTATAGGACAATTGTGATGGTCCCTATATGGGTTTAAACAATCTTGTTGAGCGTGGTTAGGTAAGTCTAGCATAGTTATTCAACAGTTGGGTATGACTAGAAATAAGGTTGATCTTTTACTATCATATCGACATGTCACTCCAAATCGGTACATTTATTTGGTAGTTTATGTTTATAGATGTCCTTGTTTCCCATTCCAGCAGGGGTCATCAAGACGTAGGATAGCATCAGGAGGAACTTCCTATGGCATGGTGATAAAGAGAGGAAAGGCTACCATTTGGTCAAGTGGAACTCAATCATCTATGCAAAAAAATGGGTGGCCTGGGTATCAAAAACTTCAAGATTCAAAGTAAAGCTCTTAAGGATGAAGTGGTTGTAATGTTAGTGTTGATGCCTATGGGGTGGAGGTCTGGAGAACTATCAGAAACTTATGGCAAAAACTTGAAGCAAATATGTACATTGAAGTGGGAAATGGCAGGAGAACTAAGTTTTGGACAGATGCGTGGAACAAACAGATTCCTCTAAAAGAATCCTTTCCAGATCTGTTCTTACTATGTAGTAATCCTGATGCAAATATCAATGAATGTTGGACAGCACAAGGGTGGGATCTAATCTTTAGAAGGTTTTTGAATGACTGGGAAGTGGAGAGAGTGGCCAAATTGCTAGAGCTATTAGAAAAATTCCCTGGCATCACCAATGCTCCTGATTCTTTGAGATGGAAACATAGTAAAGATGGGGCTTTCACGGTTAGCAGAGCATACAAAATGGAAAGTCCACAGCAACGCAACTCTAAGCAGAGTTTGTGGAGAAAGGTATGGAGAACCCCTTAGCACCAACTAAGATAAAATGCTTTACATGGTTGGTAAGATAAAATGCTTTACATGGTTGGTTGCTAGAAGGGCTTGCCTGACACATGAAGTGCTGAGGAGAAAAGGAAAGATTATAGTATCTTGGTGTTCATTATGCGGGAACGCAGCAGAGACCAACCAGCATCTATTCTTGCATTGCAACTTTACAACACAAATTTGGGCCATCTTCCTTAGTCTCACAAAAACAAACTGGACCATGCCCGAGCATACTGCAGATTTGTTGAGTTGTTGGATAAGAAGAGGGGGGAGCAAGAGTCAAAAGGCATGGTGGAGGATAATTCCACATTGCATTTGGTGGACAGTATGGAAAGAAAGAAATAGTAGAAATTTTGAAGATAGGTCCAATTCCATTCAGAAGGTTAGATGGGATTGTATTGCATCCTTTTATTTTTGGTGTAAAGAGAAAGGTTTAGAGGTTACAGAACAAATTGTAGAATTATAAGGACCCTTGTAAATATTTTTTTTTCTCTTCTTTTGTTCCCCTCTGTTTACAGGTCACCAGCATCTCCTTAATGTTGAAGAATACACCATTACCATTTTGAAAAAAAAAAAAAAAGGATGAAGTGGTTGTGGAAGTTCACCAAAGAAAACCGCATACGGTAGGGAAGAGTGATTAAAGCCAAATATGAACAAGAGGATAGCTGGATGACAAAGGAGGTGACTCCATGTGGAGTCGGCCTATGGAGGTCTACTAGATCCCTCTGGAGTGAGTTGAAAACTCAATGAAGAATCAAAGTGGCAAATGGAAACAGAACCAGATTTTGAAAGGATAAGTGGCATGAGGTTGGTATCCTGGAACTGGTTTTTCTAGATATCTTCAACCTAGTCCTTCACTAACAAAAAACTATAGCTGACATGTGGATATCTGACGGGTGGAGCTTGAATTTTAGAAGACATTTCAATGTTAGAAGGTTCAACGAGTGGCTGATTTCTTCAGCGAAGTTGATCAATTTCGTGGGGTTCAAGCTGGTGAAGATCTTTTGTGGTGCCAGAGTAACTCCAAAGGCAAACTTAAGGTCATTGCTGCCTACAAAATTATAAACCAGTCCAACGACCAGATAATAAACTTGTCATGGAAGGAAATTTGGAGGATAAAAGTTCTCCACTAGGTACCAATTTTTGTAGCAAAGGAGGCCATTTTAACCGTGGACAACTTGATGAGTAGAGGTATGACATTATTCTGAAGATGCTTCCCATGTAAAAAACAGTTGAGACAGTCATCCATCTATTTCTACATTGTCAATACACAGCTCATTTGTGGAGAATCATCCTAAACCTTAAGGAGTCGTTTGGTTTGAATACAAGTTATGTTAGATTAGTTATGATGGGATTAGTGATGTTCAGATTATTTCTTATTTATTGTTTAGTTTGTTGTATTCAAAATAATTGCATTGCATAAATTCTAAGAATAAGTTGTTTGCTGTGTTCACTCAGTCCCTTACAGGTCTATGGATTAGTTACATTTGTAACAAGCTTGGTAATCAACTGGAATGGAACAACTTGAGGGGAAGTGTTGAGAATATTAGTTATATCAATTAGGAAACTATTGTTTAGTCGTAATTATATAGTCTTGATTCTTTCCTAGTTTAGAATAGGTGTGTGTACTATTAAAACACCCACTATCTTGGGATAATAATCCGGACATACATTCTTCATATCTTCCTTCCATGCCATATTTCTCACAGCCTTAAACAAAAAAATGGGAAGCATAGAGTTCATGTTCCTGCAAAACTTGGCAGATACGGAGTGAAAGACAAATAGTGATGCTTGTTTTGCTGTCAACTTCCTGTAGTATTTGAAGACAAACAGCAATCTTTCATCAATTCAAAATAGTGCACTAAGTGCTCCGCTGTTGAACCTATGAGAATTTTCAAATATCAATGCAGCAAGTGTTCACCAAATAATCTCAAAAGAACTACTTACAGAAGGAGCAACAACTTCATTATCTTGATCAGAGTCTCTCTTCCATTCGGGAGTTTCGGGACAAACAAGAAGCTCAGGCTTTGATTGAAAATAGAAGTCATATAACGCTTCAACATACTTCCGTCTATAAATTCCAGGAGGGCGTGCTTGGGCAAACGTTGCTATTGCCTGAAGATAAGACACAAATTTTCAAGATTATGTTGAAATTTTAAGAAGAGCAAGATTTGGTGTAAAATAAATAAGACTACTAACCTCATTAACACTAACTGACTGATTACGTACGAGAAAATGTACAATCATATAGCCTGTTCGGTTGTGACCATGAGTGCAGTGGACAACAGCATACTTACTTGCTTGAGATTCTTGAGATGTCAATTGCACAACCTGCAATCAATATAAGTTCTGAAGATGAAAATCTCGGAAAAGTAAAAAGTATTTATCACACTGCCATACACACCCTTTCCAGATATGCAGAGCATGACGAAAGATAGATGGCATGCATGTGACAGCAGAAAGGAAAATTACCTCAGAAATAAATCTATCTACGGACTCGGCATCAGGTACAGAGTCCTGCCCCGGGCATCGAATCTGGATGAACACATAGCATACAACTGGCCAATTAACCATGAGATCGAATAGGATATATAGAACTGTTCTTTCTTACCTTAACATGTCTAATACCGTGACTGGTCCAATCCGATTCTGGGTAGTAACGGTCAGTGTTTGTCAAATCAACCACCAGTCCTATCTGCAATGAGTTAGTAACGACAGACATGGAAGACAGCTTAGCTGATAATCAAATATATGGGACAAACATTGAAAATCCAACTAGTAAGAAGATTAGCTGTGGGCAAGATTAAGAGATGATGACACAAAGAAAATCTCATATGAATGCACATTCCTTTTTTTCTTCTAACCGAAAAATCCCCACATACCAGTGGCACACAGTTCATAAAAACAGTGGATAATAGGCTTGCCTCTACCCTTATCCACTTAAATACCATGTCTTTGCCAGTGGAAGGGTTTGAACTTGTGACATGCTCCTAACCCACACATCACGTGCTACAAACGTAGATGTACATTCTTATGTAAGACTTCTACAAGTAGTCAATTCACACACAAACAGAATATTCTAGCTTCAGTGCTTCACTACCAGAACTAACAAATAAATAGGCAGGAGTCTCAGCAGCCACCATTTTTGAGCCATATCTATCTGAATGACAACAGTGAACACATATCTACTTGTCCTATAAACTCAGAGACGTAAGGTCCTCCAAAATCTTTTGGTTGTATAAAAATGCACAGGTCCCCATACGTGCAGGTAACTTCCTTCCAATTTCTTTCTTTTGAAAATACTTTCTTTCACTTTTCACTTATACAACAGCCAACTCCTTTTATGAACAAACTATTTTAAGAACTCACAAGACTTGACTCAAAAACTACTGGATCCAGCGAAGGGTTTTTCTTTCTGATGAAAAGGTTTTTCTTTTATCTTTTGGATAATTCTGTTTAATGATTATTACTTAACTTTCAATAGATATGTCAAATGGTTACTGTCAATCCCTATAGGAGATAGTGAGTTGGCAAAAAACATATGAGCTCCCCTCCCCCTCCTGCCCCCAAAATATTAAAAAGAAAAACCAAAAAAGCTCATAGTAAACAGTTTGAATTTCTCATGAATTAACCAACTCAGAAACAAAAGGTGACTAATTACGCATGACTAAAACAAAAGGCAACAAAAGGGAAACATTAGAAGAGCATAAGAAATAAGAGAGAGACGGAAGAGAGAACAATTTTGCAATGACTCTTCAGATGATAATTAAGGAGACCATTGGTGCAGAAAGATCTCGGTTATCCAATAAATCAGCACAGATAGTATCAAGACAATTATCACCAAGTTAACCTTATTTGTAAGCGTCAAGGGTGGGGAGGAAGAGATGAACCAATTAGTAAATGTGATAACCAGAAGAAAATCTTGTCACCACACCACTTACTTCTCTCCCTAAACATCTTTGCCTGTCGATTACTTCTTTTGGGGTGTAACTTTCTCCAGGAGGGATGTTCTTGTTGAATGACTCACTTAGAGGCACTTTTGATGGGATAATAAGACCTATATTATCACCATATGGAGGGCAATATAACCAACCTGTAAAAAACACTCTTATCAGGATAACGTTAAGGAAAGATTTATGTGAATGGAAAAGATGTTTCTCTTCTAAAGTAAACACTAAGAAAATGCAAACATTCATGGAACAAAACAAGATGACAGCTTATGCACATCAAGACATCCAGCTTATCACACAGTAATAAGTTATTGGACATGCATGCTGGTGGAAACAATCAGATGACTGAAGATAAAATTGAAGAACCTAGTACACCCCTTCAGGTCTTAGAACCAAAACAGCTCGCATAAAAAGACATGGAAGGAAAAAGGGACGAGGTTATCAGATGGGTATTTAGTTTTGGCCCGCCAATAGTGGAACACCTTTTATTTACAACTAGAAAGAAAGTAAAACTATCAAATCGTAAATACTGGATGGTCATAAGCTATCATGTTGTTTACAACTGCAGGTAACCGTAAAACCTAGAAAGAAAGTAAAATAACCTACTACAATTGGTTAAATGATATTTTATTTAAAAACCATGGTGTCGGGCTAGCTTATGCACCCCAACTAATTCCACAGCCCACGGGTACCTGCTACCTCTCACCAATATAGGTACAAGGTAACTCCGTCCACCAAGGTTTGGACAAATGGAAGAAATCACCAGTCTTTTAATGTCCTCTAGGAGTTGACCCTGAAACCTCATGATTTTCAACCCACTTTATTAATCACTAGGGCACACCCTTTGGGTGATTAAGCTATACTGCAAAACTATAATATAAAAGCGTTTTACATGTTAATGAAAAAAACTACATTATAAAACCTTTTACGCTATCAATGTGCACTTAAATCCACTCAAACTTTTGAGGCTACGTAATTACCTATCAGTAACAGGTTACTCAGAGAAGCAAATTTTAAGCTGGAGGAGTTAAGACACAAACTAAACGTGATCAGAAGTAAACTAATGAATAATGTCTTTAGTTCTCGAAGCAAAGAGCTTTTTTGGTAAATATTTCATTAATCACAAGGCCAAAATCAACCATATACAAGAAGTATACCAAAAAGTAAAGAACCTACAAATATATATGGTCTCTAAAACACACCCAATCCTCTATACAACCCGGAAATATATGGATGCACCAAAAATAAATAAGGGATCGGAGATACTCCTTAACCGCCAAAACCTCAATTCTACCCCTTAAAAGCCCCTCTTGTTTCTCTCTCTCTAAGAGATCCACATCAAAGCCATAGGAACTACATTCCATGCCCTGCACATCTTTCTGCATCTTCCAGCTTCCCAGCAAAACAACATGTCTTTCACATATCTTGGCATTGTCCAAGACATACCAACCAGCTAAACATATTCCATAACATCGTGGCCATGCTGCAATGTAGAAGAAAATGGTCAAGATATTCACTCGTCTCCTTGCACAAGTAACGTCGGTTAATATTTCTTTTCCTAAGGTTCAATGCCGCCAAGATCGCCCTCTAACAGTTAACCATGTGAAAAAGCACACCTTCCTCAGCACCTTAGAAATCCAAATGGACTTCACAAGAAAAACCTCATGCGCCTTCACCTCCCAATCCGGGAAATCTCCCTTAATCCTCAAATCCCAAAACATTTCTTCCCCTTGTGTCCTCCTTATATACTAGACTACCGCCTCCATGTCCCTCCCCCTTTGACATGAACCTTAGAAATGATTGGAAACTCCTCTTTTAGCAACATGTGTCCACATTATTTATTTCCCCAAAAAGGCATAAACTAATTTGTCTCATGTCCCCTCACTGAAAGAAACGTTACAATAAGAACACACTCATCCCTCCATGATATTCCTCCACGCTTCAGACCCAAAAGTCGATGTGGATATCATTAGTTCTCCAACCCCCTTCCATCATCCCATATTTATTTGAAACTCGACCCTAAATCTCCACAACCATTTCAAAAACAAAAATTTGTTAAAAGCCCTCTCCATAAGGTTTGGAACTCCACCCCAAATCTCCACAATCATTTTCCCAACAAAACTTTGTTAAAAGCCCTCAGATTTTTTACTACCAACCCTTAGGAGTTGTCACGATCTCTCACCGTACCAAATGATACCTCCTTGCCTCATTCGCCGAATCCAAAAAAAAAAAAAAAATAGTTTGTTCAATTTTTCTACAACAGTGGGGTAGGCATGGAACAAAGACATAAAATAAGTGAAGATGCTCGATAAAGTATTCTACTTTTTTATGACCATGGTGTCCGGAACCGCTTTCGTGCACCTCGACTAATTCCACGGGATACCTACCAACTCCCACCAGCAACCAGCACCAGGTAACTCTGTCCACAAAGGCTAGGACAGAAGGGAAGAATCACCTAGTGTTTTTTTATCTCCATTGAGTTTGAGTTTGAGTTTTGAACATGAGACCTCAATGTTCTCAACCTCTTCATTGACCACTAGGCCACACTCTAGGGTGCCTCGATAAAGTGTTCTTAATAAGCACTTCTTTTTCGCCTTTGGAAAAATACCTCTTTTGTCAACCTACAAGCCTCTTCTCTCTAAAGTACCAAATTCCAACATTAATGTACTTATTCAAGGCCCCTAAGGGTAAACCCAAATAGGTAGTACAAGGAGCCGCTACCGCCAATGCAAAACCTAAGCGAGCAAATCAATGTTGACCTCACCAACGGTAATTGGTCTCAAATTTTCCGAGATTAATTTAAGGCCCACATTGATTGAAACCAAATTAAACTTCACGTAGAAATTCCATTTGATCCCATCTACATCACAAAAACTAGGGTGTCATCCGCAAACAAAATGTGAAAAATAGTTTAAGAACACACCACCTCCAACCGCATCATTGAACCCCTTAACGTGCCCTCCCAAAACAACTATATCCATCATCCTACTCAAAGCCTTCAACACCAAAATAAAGAGCATAGGTGATATAGGATCCCTTTGCCTCAACCCCTCAAACTGTTAAAAATTCATGAGTTACCATCCACCCTCACTGAGTTAACGCACTAAGATACAAAAATTTGGCCACTTTCTCCATTTCTCCCCAAAGCTCATCTTCTGCATAATGAAATCACGGAACTACCTACTTACATGGTCATAAGCCTTTTCAAGATCTAGCTTAGGGTGTTCATCTGAATTGAGCATCTTTATATATCAGTGGAAGCTAAGTTGCAATGGATGGATCACATAAAAAGACAATATCCAATCTCTATTATGCTTGTGGGGTATGGATGCTAAATTACTGAAGTGCCATAAAATGCACTTCCGAAAATGAAGTACTTGGAATACAAGACTTGAATTCCACAACCTAACTTTTGAAATACTTGGCAATCATCCAGAAAGTTATATTTTTAAAAAAAAATTCAAGTTAAAACATTTTGCTTTTTTCATATCATCAATGAAACAGCAGTACATATGAGAAAGAGAGGGCATGGGAACCTTACCCTTCCTATAACTAATGAGAGTTTGACAACCCCAACTCTATATCATTCACAAAGACATTCTAGTTCCTAACAAAACCACATACTCAAGCAACTAAAGGGGGATCAAATTGAATATTTGAATCTTTGTTGCTTTCTTTTGTCGCACCCAAAATGACGCCATCTCCAATCTATCTAATTGCAATAGACCCCTTACTGACCTTGACATTCCTAAATATGTTGTGAAAATCAATTTTTTTATGCATCCAGCTGAGAAAGGCTAATTTGTCAGCCACCTTAATAGCTTCCCTATAACAATGTTGTACTATGACCCCTCTCTCCACTATTATCTCCTTAGTCTTGTCCACCAGGTCTAGCAACCTTCATGGTGTCTGAGATTCTTCATTTGTTGCCTTCACCAATGGTTCTCAGATAGCCTCTCAATGATTTTGTGTATGCCTTGCACAGCACAATGTTGTAAACCAACCAACACAACTCTCCCTTCAACCCAATTACTTGTACCAATTCCATGATGAACCTCCCATTGTAGTCCCTGATGACTCCACCTGCTCCACAGTTCCCATCAATGCAGCTACCATTACTGTTAACCTTAACAAACAATGGTTGTGGCTTAGCCCACTTCACCAACCTGTACATTCTAGTTTCCATAGGAGAACCAATAAGACTCTTTAAGCTTTCCCATCTTGTATCCAAATTTAGTTTCCCAAATATATGCTTAGTCAACTAAGACAGAGTAAAGGAGGGACAATTGACAAGAGGGAAGCAATTGAGAAGATGGCTGGAGCCATAGTTCCTACGAGGACAATTGACAAGAGGGAAGCAATTGAGAAGATGGCTGGAGCCATAGTTCCTACGACTCCAACAGAAAAGATCCCAAGAGAACTCAAGAATCTGGAACCAGCTAGTAACTTCGTGAGCTATGGTACAAGAAGTAGGGGGGTTGTTTCATAGATGTTTTAAATGAAAGTTAACATAGTTTCATGGAATGTAAGGGGCCTCAATGATCCAAGGAAGAGGCTACTGATCAAAAACATGATGAATAATTGGAGGGCAGACGTGTATTGTTTTCAGGAATCAAAAATTAATGGAGATATAAGTGGGGTGGTAAAAGAGATTAGGGCAAATAGGAGGGTCAAATATGCACAATTAGAGGCACGTGGAACAAGAGGGGGCATCATTATCTTATGGGATAGCAGTATCTGGGAGGGTGAAGTTTGTGAAGTAGGGGCTTACTGTATCACATGTAAGTTCACAGGGAAAACTCGGGTTTTTGAATGGCATCTATCTAGTGTCTATGCTCCAAACAGTAGAGACAAAAGAGAAGAAGTATGGGGAGAATTGGGGGCAGTAAGGAGTCTGTTTAGTGGACCTTGGGTGGTGGCTGGGGATTTCAATGTAGTAAGGTACCCATCAGAAAAGAAGAACTGCAAGAGATTGAATAAGGCGATGGAGGATTTCTCAGATTTTATCGAGGATATGGAACTACAAGATTTACCACTGGAAGGTGGTATTTTCACATGGAGGAAAGGGGACAGACAAGATATTGCAGCAAGACTAGACAAATTTTTGATTTCCGAGGAATGGGAAGTTTCCTTTAGGAAGATT